TTCTGCTAGAAATATTTACTTGGCAAGCTTTCCAGCGTGCATACACACACCGGAGCTTTAAGTCGCTCACACAGTATATGCTCTCAAGGTCTGTGCATCTGTTTGCCCTTGCTTCTTTTCTTCTTACCAAATCATAATGCTCATCACAGCAAGCACAGTTTTATTTTGTTCGAGCCTAGTCCAAGCCCCTTTCTCACAGGAGATTTTACAATGAAGCTCATCATTAACAAATATTCAGAACTCCTATATCCCCAAACAGACTTCAAATCATTTGCTGAACTTTGACAGCAAGGAAAAGAAGTGGAAGTCACATTAGGAAGGTTTTGGACTGAGGATAAAACTAATTCACTGACCAACAAATTCTGTGCGTGCTGTCTGAAGCAGGCAAAAACTGTATTAGGGACAAAAATATTAGTAGCATTACTGCTCTATTTGCACAAAGATTATGAAACGCCATGGCTAGGTTTGAGTCTCACCCTTCAAAACATATATAAGGCTTGCAAATTAGACAGATTTCCAAAGAAAGCAACCAAAATTTAAATCAAACAACCAAAAAAACAACCAAAAAACCTGTTTACAGTCAGTCACTCCAAAGCTGCAATATTTGGTTCACAACAAATGGAAACTACAAATAAAACCAAAATTTTGGTTTGAATCATTGTTCACCATCGTTTGAATCACTGTTCTGTTTCCACCATTTGTTAGTTCAAAAAATGAAATAGTTTCATCAGAGGATGAGCAAACAGAAGATCACCAACTGTGGGATGCCATACTTTATATTGGAAATTATTAGTAACATATGCTTAAGGTGTATCTGCACTTGGAGATATTCTAGTATATTATTCCTAATTAAGTAACCCAAATTAACTCCATGCTAGATGCTATTATTCTGAAGAAGAATACTCACATGTGGTATTATATAGAAAAATAGCTATAGTATTTTAAATACGTGCCTTACCCTACTATTTAGGTTGACTTTCAAACACAGACAAGTCTGAATTACTGTGTTCATACTATCTTTATCAAACCTAACCACTTAGCTATGCTAAATACTTATGCTGTAACAAGGTCATATCAAAGTTATCAGAAAATCTGATGTTCACAAACTCTTGCTAAAAACAAAGTAAAAGAGGAAAGTAGGATAGCTCTGGTCTATGACTTTTCTAATCAGTTGGAATACGATAGTATCTGTTTGCCCTGGGAATTAGATAAAATAAGATCCAATCCCCATGAATAAAACGCAGCTATTTCAGGAGCAATAACTGCAGTTCAGTAGCAAAGGGAGAGCAAACATTTAATTTGAGGGTTGTGTTATTTTTAAATCTACTTTTTTTTGCTTGCTTGGAGAGTTGTGTTTTCCTGGTCAGCACTAACAGAATCAGCCTGTATTTCCCTTAGCTGGTCTCACGTCTGAAATGTTTGTGCGCACTCTGGTAATTTTGTGCTAGCAAGTATCAAACAAGTCTTGAATGGGATACAATTTATCCACTATGAATTCGCTATCTTTAAGAATCAGCATCAACTACACTTGCTAATGATCACAGACATAGCTGAACAACACCTAATAGTGGCATAATCTCACTGACTGAGGCAGATATGTTGCCTAACCAAAACAAAATTCCCCTCAGCTTTTTCTTATAACTTTTATTTCCTATCCAGGAAATTTCAAGTACCGAACAGTGTGTGATTTATATCAGCCTGTATACAAAAAGAAAGCCATAGAAAAAAGGAATGCAACATCACAAGATGCCTCGTCACAGCTCCTCCCGTTCACCCCCTTCATGGCTCTTTGAGAAGTACGCAAGGGCCTGGGTGAGCCACACCAGAGCCAAACACCAGAGTCCCCATCCCAGAAGGCAGGCACAGTGTTGGCGTCGGAGACAAATTTATCTTTATTCTGCCCTACTGTGGCTTGAAGGCAAGAAACGCTGTTTCAGTCTTAGCCTTGCTGGTCTTGGTTTTGGCTTTCAAAGAAGGGAGGTTTGTGCCAGCAGGCCTTTAGACACACACAACTGTGCAGGTGTGAGAAAGTGGAAACCACCAGTTTATTTCCACGGGCCAATATCTGATCCCCAGAGCAAAATGACTTCAGTTGTCATTGAACTCGAAAAGACTTGAAGTATGGTTTAGAAATATTTATTCTGTTCTAGTCTTTTGTTTACTACCCCCTTGCAAAACAAATTCTTAAAGAAAAGCAAGACAAACCAGTCCATTCATAGCTCTTCCACTCCCTGATACAGAACCCCATACTTTCCAAAAGACTTGCCCTAAAATGGTACAGAGGAATGGGAAAATTGAAGCTGAAGAATACCAAAATGTCATTGCATCGATGACGCTACTACCTTTTGATCAAAGGCGTGCGTTTCTTTTAGGTGTGTCTCTGTAGCCAGCATCCTCCATGGCATTTGAGTAAAAGCCCTGAGATTCCACGAGATTTTGTAGTATTGGCAGGTTCTGCCATTCTAATATTTTGAAGAGCGTTTAAAACAGAATAGAGATTTTAATTTGCAGGTCAAACTTCTGTCAGGAGATAAAAAGTCTACGGATTATCCAAACCAATAGAAATCTACCACTCATAATCATGTTTTCCAAAAAGCTTAGAAATTAAGCAGGTCTGATTAGCAATGGGTGATTCAGCAACCAAGTCATATGGAAAAGAGAAAAAGAAGAGGCACTGAGGTGCAGAAGAAATGTAGGGGGTTCCCTAAGACAGCCATGGACATGGCTTAGAGCTGGGATCCCCAAACTGTGCCCCAGAGATGACTGGTGGGCCACATATTGAGTGGTCAGAGCTGATACATGAAACCATACTGACTTCAGAGCTACTTCAAGCTTAGCAAGGACACAGAGCAAAATATGAGAAACACAGTGCTAACACAGTGATCTTTTGGTTTGGAAAATACTGGGGTAAAACTGGTTAAAGATCACTTTTAGATAAGCATAGCAAGGGTACACCAGATATTGACCACTCTGGCTGGATTAAGATGTTTCCAGCACGGAATAAATAGATGAAGGAACCTGGTCTTCAGGCTCTCTACCCATTAATGACTCCCTTCATACAAAGGGTAACCATGACAGGAAATCTGCAGGAGATTAACACTTCATCTTTTAGTAACAGCACAAATACAGAGATCAGTTCAAAAGTAAGAACCCAGCCACTATTTCCTCTGGTTGAAGTTTCTTGGAAAATAGAACAGGAATCTCTATAAGGAATCAAAACAATCTCTGATTTTCAGTCTTGAACACACAGCTAGATAACAATCACACAACACACCATGGAGTGAAAACAAGAAAACATAAACACGATCAAAACGCTTGGTCAGGAATGCACATTTGAAGGTCCCCACATCCCCTGGTCTGTTTACCATATTGGATGCCACAGGAACTCCCTTTCTATGCACATGGATGTTGCTCAGAGTCCTCATGCAGATCCACAGACTGAATAGGCACCAAATTCTCTCCACACTAACCCCAAATAAACACAGTGGACTTAAACTGAGGCATCATTAGGTTTTCAATTATCTCTACATAACCAGTCCTCTCCGAAGATAAATCAGAGGTGGAGTCATTTACATGCTTTCCAGATCTAGGCAACCTTGCCCTGTCTTGACTACTGTTAATACTGTGGAAGACATTTTTGTAGCAGTCTCGCACATTAGCTTCTCCTGCTATGTGCCTAAATTGCGTGTGCTTTTGTTTGTTCAAACTGTGAGTGGAGTCGTGAATAGACTGACTGGACTGATAAACTGGCTGTATACACCTAAATCCCAGTAGCTAGGTCTGTAAGGAACGGTGCACAAATGTCTGCTGTAAGATGGGTTTGTGCACAGCTGCATATACAACAGAACGATTCCACCTGTGGGAAAGACACATTTTGAAAATTCAGCTCTAGAAGCTCCAATTGGGTGGAAAGAAATAATTGAACCATTTATCAGATGAAACAAACAATTTTAAGTGGAACAACAGATCAATATTGAGCTAACCAGCTTGTACCTATGAAAACCCTTATTCATGCTGAATGTATGGACACAGCACAGCAACAGCGTTACATGACATACAGTTGATTCATGTGGTCAGCCTGTGCCCAAGAGCACCAGCTCATCACAGAATTCTTACTTTCTTCCACAACTCAGGAAGGGACCTTTCTTTCAAAGTATGAGGCAATTTCTTCTTATATTTTTTATTAATTAATTTTCTTTTAGTAAATGTAATGTTACTCTGATTGAGAAACAGACTGACATCACTGAAGATTGATGCCTGTTAGCCAGAGAGTAGCTATAAGGCCACGAGTGATGCACGCTTTTCCAGACACTGCTCCCTCCTTTTCCCTCTCCTCATCCTCACCAGGTGTGTGACGCAGCCCTGACCTGGAAGGATGAGAGGCAAGTTAGCTCTTTTTAGGTCTTTTATGCCTTAGCTCCTACGGTAAGAATACTAGCAAGGGGGCCAATTAGTGCCAATTGCAGTAGTCATTTCTGCAATGACACCTGTCCACTGGGAACTCATCTGAGACGACCAAACAGTTCTCAAACAAGCTGCCAAACAGCTGTCAGATGACACAAGATTTTGATCATTACTGACCTGAACACACTCAAACTGGAGACCTCGTGATGAAAGATGTATCCCATTTCCAGTCCCCAGAGTCACCCAGGCCCTCAGAACACTGATACAATTCTATCCAAACACAGCTTTTCAGGAAGTGGCTGAAATAGCCCTCACGAGCCCTAGTAAACATCTGAAGAGAACTGAAGTCAAAAGGCAGTTGTTAGTCGGTGAGTTACGCTGGCTAGTCTACCCACACCATTACAAGATTTAGCAGCCTGTCAGCATCAGCCAGCTTCTTGACGGTACCCGTAAAAAGCCATTTTCTTCAGAAAGGATCCAAATTTTAGAAGTGCGAACCAGGAAGGTACTAGTGACAACAAAAGTCAGGGCTAAAAAATTGCAGAATCACTCCAAGAATAAAACAACCATCTGGAGAAATACTTCCTTTGGTTTACCTTAAGCAGAAGTGGATATTTGCAAATTCTCTGAATTGGAGTCAGCAGATAACCCTCTAGTGGAATGTCTGTCGTCTTTCTGCCTCCCAAAAGCATGCAACCCTATAATCAAAAAAGGAAACAAATGTTACCTCAGACATAAAGCTTTCAGACGCTCTTTGACATGATTTTGTATTCCTATAACATGTATTACGGTCAGAAAGCACTTTGCCAACCCTAAGACACTGGAAATGGGACTTCATTCACCACTGAAATACAGCCATCAAGCCTGCCAAAGAAAATGTGCTGTGGATAACAGTGGCTGTGTAGAAAGGTATCTTCCCAGAGAAATATTATACAGCCGGTGACTCAAAAAATGTCATAACAATACAACAACAATCAGCAAACCTAGATGCACCGTTACCTAAAAGAATCCAGCCTACCCCCACAATTGATACGACCATTTGTCTTCATTCACCATGCAAAGTTTGCACTGTTGGCCCAGAAAACTCTTGAAGGCTAAAATAAAGCCTACTAACTAGTAATCATGTAATTAACTATAGTCCAATCCTTATGTCTGAAGGAAATTAAAGTGGAATTGGAATAAATGAGTCATCTGCATCACATCCACCAAGTCTCTGGCAACACATCTATGTCTAAGCACAGCTGGACAAACAGCATGGGCACACTGGCTGGCTAACCAGCACACATGTAGCTCTCAACCAGTCACAGCAAATGTTGCTGCTTGCCCAGCAAAAAAAGCTACGGGACATGCAGGCAAGGCTACCTTGTAGGTAGGAGGTGCAAGAGGCAATGAAATTTAAGGAAATCGGGTTTCATTAATTCTGATGCTCATTTAAAAAAAAAAAAAAAAAGGGGGTTTCAGTAAAATTTTTGGGCCCCTTTGTGGATCACCCCTGCCCTTCAGAGAGGGCACGTTAATGACAACCCTGCTGTCCTTGTGCCGATGCAGGACCTGCCATGGCAGCGCTGCGGGCACGCACGCAACACCGA